TGGCAGCAATTAGAGGAAAGATTTATGGAGTGTTTAACATTTATAAAATTTATGATACTTACTTTTTATATTACATTCTCTCTCAAAAATCAATTGTAAATTTTTTTTTAATCAAATGAGCAAAATTATTTTGAAATTGAATTCTGACTATTATTTTTTAAGTTTATGTATATAAACATATAAGAGTAATATAAAAAATATAAAAATTTTGATTAAAATACAAAAATTAAATAAAGATGAAAATAATAGTTGTTAATTTTAGATTTCAGGTAATATTTTCAGATGTTAGATCTGCAATTAAAAGAAGAGAACAAGCACTTCAAGTAAGTAAAATTATTATTTAACACAATAATTTAAAAACATTTTATTATAGATTAATAGGTGATAAGTTTTTAAATAACAATATAGACTCTCTTCTCACTTAATTAAAAACAATCAAACTTCAAACAGCCTTTTAGTATGCAGCCCTTTTTTATTACCCTTCAAATGCTTTTGGTCATTTAATTGATCTTCTTCAGGAAACAAAATCAACGATTCCAATTTCAACAGAACAAAACTTGGAATGTTTAAAAACGTTTTGGGATTATAACAATATAGGCATACATATATGAAGATACATATTTGGAACAAAAAGTTTTAGTACTAAACAAGGAAATGATATAAATTTAGGAATAATTAATTCTTTAGGATTATTTTCTGTTGAAAATTCAAATGCCTGCCTACTGCTGCCAATGACCATATATTCTCATTTTTTTGTAAGCTGGATGTTGGCCTCCCATCAGTAATGTGTTAATTCACACATTACTGATTCTATTTCTCAATGTTGAGGCAGTCAAATCAGTAATTATTTGAGGAAATAAAAAGTCTGATGCTTGTTGTGTCTGTCAATATAACCCAAAAGAACTGTGACAATTAATTTAATATTGTATCATAAAGGCTAATATATTTAGTAGTTTTTGTTTTCAAGGTTTTTTAATGCACAGAGATGTGTCAAAATTTTGTCATTTTGTTGCATGCAGCAGGCACTAGACAACATGCAAGAACTTAAATCCATCTTAATGCATCTGTGTAGGCTTACATTATAAATAAATTGCATTTAGTGTGTAGCACAGAAAAATTTCTGATCTTGAAGTTGCCTGCTTCAGCAAAAATTCAAAAATCCCCCCTTTAATCAAAAATCCTTTAATCAAAAATTTTGATTAAAATACAATTATAATTTCAAATGATTTTAATATACATGGTGTTTTGAAATTCCTATAAAAAACTTATAGGACAGATTACATAAGAAAAACTAAGATAAAAATGTTCAGTAATATTTTTCAAATAAAGCCTTTATTAAGAAGTTATAGATGTTTAAAGTTCAGTGATGTTACTTCCAGAATTTGATGCATGTGAAAAGATTTTTAAAATATGCCTATATTTTTTATTGTAATCTTTTATTTTCATTAAAATAAATACTTTTTAAATGAATACAGTAAATTATTACTCTCTTGCAGAAGTATAAAAAATAAAACATGCAGATGTAGAGGGTGTATGTCAAAGTAGAAGGAAGATCTTTCATGAATTATGGTTGTGCTACAAGAAATTTAACACACACCAGGTATTTTTGAGTGGGTGTATCAGAACTTTGAAGATACAATGTTTACATAGATGTTGGAGGTTGTCGTATTGAGCAACTCTTGTGGATCAGGATACAAAGCAAAACAAACTTTTAAGAAGTATAAGACATTTTTATAAAAAGAACATTGCTTCAAATACATAAAAATAAAGTACAAAATTTTAAGATAAATCTACTTGCATCTTTAACAAAAGAATAAAACATGAATTTGTCCTCATTTGTATGAAAACCAGAAGTGATGTCACTGAACTTTAAATGTCTAACTCCTTAATAAAGGTTTTATTCAAAAAATGTTAGTGAACATTTTTATCTTATAGAACAGATTCCTTAAGAAGAACTAAGTTTGTAACAGGAAGTTTGGAACACTCTTTATTTTAAAAAAATAAAAAAAAAATCACTTCTTATTGGTCATGTTTTTCAAGATTGGGATGGAAGATGATGGAGGTGGGGCCACTTTCACCATTACTTCAATGCATTTACAGACACATTTTAAATACTGCACACTAAGTTTATCAAGTTTCTGGATGGGGGATTGGAGGGATAGGTGCAACCCCTAAATATTAAAATGCATTGTCATTAGAATTAACTATGGACTTCAAAGTTTCAACTTTTTATCTTAACTAGAAGTGGATGAGATTTAAGTTGCAGAATTTGAGGACATGATACAAAGCAAGTTAAATAAATAATCAATAATAAAAATAATTTAACTTTTGTCTATTCGAACATTATTCTCAAAATTTGGTCAAATTCATCTGCATTCAAAAGAGATCAATTATTTATTAAATTACACTTTTATGATATGAAAACAAATGTTTGAATTCAAGTCATTATTTTGAAAAATATTTTTTATCTTCCTTGATTATTTTCATTCCTTTAATTAACTTTAATTAAGTGAACTGATCTTTAATAAACTGTAAAAAGAAATTCAGTACTTTCAATCAATTTTTATCATGATAGTAATTTTGACCTTAGTATTATTCAGACAAGTTTTAATGGACTCTATATGTATGTAAATAGTTTAGTCATTGTTTATTTTTGAATAATAAAGAACAATGAACAACGATTCTATTGAATCATGGAATGTTTAGATGCCATGAGAAATTTTATGGCTGCTTGGAAGGATGTTCTTATGACAATAATTAGACGTTGTTTTGCAAGGCAAAGGATTATTAAAAGCAATAATAACAATGCTCGTGCAAATGTGATTGACAATGAGAAAACCAAATTGACAAGTACAGTAATACCTCGACTTACGCGAACCCGGAGTTACGCGATTTTCAAATCTCGTCGATTCATCTTTTGTTTGAGCGCCACGCAACTCTTGATTACTCACTCCCCCCACACTATTGTTCAGCTTACATGTTGGGATGTGTCGCGCGGAATCGACACATAGCTACAGTTTATTTTGTGTTATTTATTTCTGCGTTTGTTATATCTACAGAGCCTTGAGAGACTCTATGTGGTGATTTCTTGTAACCGTGAACGAATCAAAAGACGAGATAAGATTAACGAGAACATTTATTAGCTTACATACATCCAACTTGGATTTTACACGAATTGCGAAATTATACTCCGACTTACGTGAATTCGACTTATGCGGTCATCGCTTGGTCCCACCTATCGCGTAAGTTCGGAGTATCACTGTACTGGCAGTACATGAATCAGCATATTGAATGTAGAGGATGATTTTACTGATTTTGTCAGTGCTGATGACAAATATTGCAGTCTATGCTTCATTAATTGATAAACTGCAAGAAATTGAGGAAGGTACAAGCATACCTTTGATGCAATACAGTGCCATGTAAAGAAGAACTGAAAATTAGCAATGAAGAGACATCACATGAACCCATAAGAAAAAGGGATGCTTATATTGCATTATCAATGAAAGCTGTAGTGCTGGAAGATTATTCTGTAGACTTGTGAAGATATTCAGGAAGGTACAGACAAAATTCAAGATTTTGTGCACAGCATGCTGTATAACACAAAATGAAGCAACCAACTATAAAGAATTACGTTAGAATGTTTGTGAAGTGCTGATGTTTATCACATATACATGTATTCAGAACAGTATAGCATCCATGTACTGTACTATATATAAACATTCGTTTTACATTATCATGTATGTGATTTTCAGTTTCACAATAAAATGCCATAAACTGTACACAATTTTGTAAACATTCTGTGAATATGGTGACTAGATATGGAAAATTTATGGCCATAGAAAAATTTAAGAAAATCAGGTATTAAACTTATTAACTCAAACTTGGGCATTTTTTACCCCATGAACTTTGACTTAACCAGATTTTACTGTATTAGAATTAATTTACATTTTGTAATAGTTACTAATTGATTATCAATTATTATATAACAGACTTATAATAACCTTACATATGACAAATTTTTCATTATAATTGAATTTAACAAATAAATTATTTTTCATTTAGCATTAAGTAAATAGTTAGATTAAACAAAATCATAATTTAATATTGTTTATAACATTCTTACTTTATTGACAAGACTATGTCTTGTTTATAAAATTCCGGTGCCATATGGGTGCACACCTTAGAGGTATAAGGGGGGACATGTCAGGAGTTGCAATTTGGCACAGAGTATTAGGTGCCCAAATCATGTGCACATAAAAAAAATCAGATTTGTATGTAGTTGGGACCGAGAACTGAGTCAAAATAAAATACAAAATGGTGACATCTTTCTACAAACAGACAAGAGTAAAAGATTTATGCATGTGTATATCATTGGGAAGTTGGAAATGTGAATGTTGCAAAATCGAATTTTGGCAAACGAATCTTTGAAAAAAACCCATTTACCTCTGATAGCGACTTGATGACCTTCACTGGTTGACCTGAGATATCTCATTTCAGCATTGAAATGTTTTTGAAACTAGATGGAGCTATTCGTTATAATTTTATATTAAAAGTGACTTCCGAAATATAATTTTTTTTGTCTTTACATTTATTAATATATTTATTTTGTTTGTGCAAAATAAAAAAAGTAATTTCAGATAATACAATAGCCACGATTATTTTTTCAAGAATGGGAAATTTTCATTAGGTACCAACAAAAACTAAACCCAGGGCTACATGCAATGGACAGAAATTTTGACATTGGATAGGTTAATTTCACCAAAAATGCCTCGTGGACAACCTCATGGCCATGGCCAGTGAAGTTTGAACGATCACGCCGAGCCTTGAGCCTTTGAGACATAGTCTTGTCTCAAAACTTGGCCTTTTTGTTTTACTTGTTTGTTTTAGTTTTTAAAAATTATTTTAAAAATTTAGTTTAGTTTATTAGTAAATTTAATTTAGCTATTTTAAGATATATAATATTTACAGTCTAAAATAGATAAAATTTTATATCTAATAATTAATTTTGACACATTGATACAAATTACAGATTGTTTTAAATTAATATTGATTGATTATTTCATTTTTTTTTATTTATTTTAGCATTGTTCTAAATGCAAAATGAAAGTACAGAAATTAGATGAAAAGGAGAAAACTGGTGATAATATTGTTAAGCTTGAAATAGTATGTTCTTAACATAATAGATTATTTTTATCATCTTTTTCAAGTAGTAATATAAGTAAATTTGATTAAATTAATAGTTATTGATAGTTTTTTTATAGTTATATTTTGATAAAGTGAAAATTACATAGTAGGATGGAGAAATTACTGAGATCAGCATTATATGTTGGCATTCTCAGTGATTTCTCCTTCCTACTATATGGTATTTGGCGTGAATATCAATCCATTAAAAATTAAGAAAATTAGATTTTAAGCAGAATTATTATATCTAGTACTAAATTATTTAAGGTAAATAAATCACAGATATTGAATAAAATAAAAAATAATTGTTTCTTTCTATAATGTATTTATGATAAGTCATTCTGTTGATGATATGTTGTATAATTAAGCTTATGTATTGTTTCAGTTTGCAAATCTCTATAAAATACTACAGTATAGTAAAATACGGTATTCCTCATACAACATGGTTTGAAAATTGGGGATATCCCCCATACAACAGTTTCTGTTTTACTGTAATACAGTTTTGGAAATCCCCCATATAAAATTTCGTAACTTTTAAATGTAAACTCTGTTGTTCAATATTTTTGTAAAATTCAAGTAAGCACATGTGTTGTCTCAAATTTGCCCACGGAATTTAGACTATTGAATTTTCAATTTGTTTTGTACTTTCTATCAGGTTTACTTTAATGAAAACTGATAGTGCAATTTTCTCATCCTTGTCTTAGCTTTCCTATCAACCAGATGTCATTGTTGTTGCTTTCAGACTAGCCCTTAAGATGGTCACTGTGTTTTCTTTTTATAGATTAATCTTCATATCTAGTAAAGTTTATTTAAACATTTTTAGGTAAGTGTTATTAAATGGTTATTATGAATAATTACTTCATTCGTCAAAATGACAAAGTGGCAAATTACAATGGTATCTTGGTATTTGAACAGTTCCCAACTCCAACAATTCTGTATTTGAACACATTCTTGAAAATATTATTTTTCTCTTTTCCAACCATAATTTTGCAACTTGAAATCTGTTCACTGGTAATTACATTAAATTTAAATTGTTTACACACATTTTTATTAAAAATTTGTTTTTAATTTAAAATAGATGATGATTGGTGATATATACAGTAGAATCTTGTTTTAACAGATCACTCAAGCTTCTGAAAATCATCTGTTCTGAGAATCTGTTATATCACAAACAATGGATTTCTCACACACACCAGGAAAATATCTGTTGTTCGAAAAAATTTCCATTTTTAATCTACATATAAGAAATACCTGTACTTGAAATTATTCAGTCTCTCAACATACATGTTTATTCTATAGAATAAAGAATAGGGATGTTTCAAGATTGTATATTATGCTTATGTGTGTAGAACAAAGCTGATGGAAACTGTATACAGTGGTACCTCAGGATACAAATGCCCTAGCATACAAAAATTTTCAGGATATGACATGAAATTTGAACATAATTTTGCTCCACGGTATGAACAAAAACTCACTATACGACGTTACATTAGTTTGCAGCGCCATTTTTTATTCACTTCTGTTTATTGGTCTCAGTTTGCCTGTTTGCTTCGTCGTGGAAGGATCTCACTTGTTAAAGGAAACCTTTAGGTATTATCAGAAAGTGACTGATTTTATTGAAAAGAAACATCCTGAAAAGGTTCTCACTGGCCGTATTGCTGTTCAGAGTAATGACATTTGCTTAAGTCATTTTAGAATCATTTTAAAAAGCCAAACCTCTTTGGATAGATATTTTACCAAGCGACCTCTATCCAGTGAAAGTGCTGGTGGAAGTGAAGGAAAGACAGCAAAAACCAATGACTGATTTTATTGAAAAGAAACATCCCGAAAAGGTTCACACTGGCCGTANTATGTTAGGTAAGTTAAGTTTTAGTATCATTTCCCTTCTCCCTCTCCTCCGCCACCAATTTACACCTCCACTGACATCTATCCTCAAAGGTAAAGTGCAAATAAAACTACATCTTTTTTTATCAATTATTATTCTATTATGTTTATTTATACATTTACAACTACAAAATGCATTTTTTCAGTGTTTTCCTTACTAAAGTTATTTTTTTTCAATGTACTACTTTGCTTTAATTTGAGTATGTTTTTCGTGTTGGAACAAATTATTTGGTTTTACATGTAATTGTATGGGGGAAAAATGATTCACCTTATGACATTTTCATGATACGATCTCAGTTTCGGAACAGATTAATTTCATATCATGAGGTACTACTGTATATTGTAAGCAAAAAAAGAGGAAATTTTCATATATTCATTAGCACTTCATTTGACTTTGTAGTTTGTTAAAAATAACTCTTCCCTCTTGGTTTGTTTTGATATTCCTTTTCTGCCTTTTGAATACAACTGGTATTATATTAGCAATGTGATGTATCCTGTTCACTTATGCTGAAACTTGTCAGGAGGCCTTCACAACTTGGAAAGACTTGATGGCCTCACTAAATTTTGACACTACACTTGGACCAGCATCAGAAATGTTTACTAGGTATCCTCCTCAATTATATCAAACTGCTGACTTTCTTTGTATGATTCTTTAATTGTACATATCCCAGATATAATAATTGCATCATTGAACTCTACAAATTTCCAGAAACATCCAAATATTAACTAAACATTGAAAAAATGCAAAGTTTACAATAGATGGGGTTAGAAAAAATCCAGTATTCTGAGTTAAGGATCCACTAAAAGGAGATAAAATTACATGGATTTGGCAGGACCTGGGGAAAAAAAATACATTGTTCCAAGAAATCTGTTGTTCTATGATCTGTTAAAATGAGAATCTATTGTAAAATGTATTTTATAAATAAAGTTACAGGAATGTGTTTAGGAATATGAAAATAATTTTTTCCTTCTCATTGTAAAATTAGAATATTTTAAAATTAATTTCTTTGTTAAACACAGAATAAATGGTGAAAAGCTGTCCTATAAATATAAAACCATTGCACATTTTGATTAAAAAAAATTATTAGTGAAAGTAGGAGTTACAATAATTTGTTACTTTATAAAATTTTATAATTTTGAATTACTGTGTTTATTTTTATTGGCTATCTGTTTTAGAATAGACCTTCAATTTGACACTGAAGCTTTGGATAATTAAAATTAAATTTATGATGGCACTTAAATATGGGTTTTTCTAGGAACTAATTAGATTATAAAAAATGGAAGTCTGTAAAAGCATTGTAAAAACTTTGTAGACTCAAAGTTTTTACAATGCTTGATGTTTTTTGGTAAACTTAAAAATCAGATGATAGCAGCAAAAAGTAAAGAACTGGATTGCGGTAGTTTAATGCTTAGTCTTTGATTTATACTTAAATAGAACTTCAAATTTATTTAATATGAAAAGTTCAAAAATTGTAATTTGACTAATGCTTCTAAAATGTCTCAAAAAAGGCACAATAATAATTTGAAACTATTCTGAAACTTAGAGAATACCAAAAATAAAATTATATATTACTTATGTTTTGTTGTGTAATAATTTAATTATATAAAATTTTAAAATAATTTAATTATTATTTGTAAAAAATATAATTGTGTGTGTAATATTTTAATTATGTAATAAAGACAAAAATACTAGTTTTCAAAACAGTTATAAATTTTAAATATTGATGATGATATGTGACAAATCTTTATAATAAATTGTTTTTGAATTAGTGAAAGCATTAATTTATAGAAATAAATTATTTATAGGCCAAACAAGCTTTGGAAAATGCAAATGAAGAATTTAAAACCCAGGATAGTGAATTAAAAAAAATTCTACCGTATTTATATGAATTTAGAATTGAATATTTCCAACCCTCTTTAGAAGCACTCATCTGTGGTCAGGTAATAAATATCATTTAAAATAATTTTTAATATAGTTTTGCATGTAATATATTACAATTCTGTAAATTAGAAAACAAGGATACATTAATTATTATTTTATATAAAAATTCTATTTTAAAATATTAATTTCTTATACTTTAGGTTGATTATGTTGGAGAAAAGACAAAAGCATTTAATGCAACAATGTGTACTCTTCGTGAGAAAAATAAACCTGATAATGGAATGCTAATGCAACAACAACAAAGACTGGCAGCAATTAGAGGATTATCAATTGTTGCTGATAGATGAAAACATTTTAATATACTGAAAGAAAAATAAATATAGAACAGTTATTGTTATCAAAGGTACATACACCATAAACAAGAAATTATTTTAAAATATAAAATTTTTGATATATTTAATAGATGATCTTCAGAATACATCAAAAAAGAACAAACTGGTTTAAATGAGAACATTTGGAATGCATAGAATACAAAAACAAATTAAATAAGATAACTAAATGATTACAATGGCTTATTAAAAATAAATGTATAACTTTTTAAGTTTAAAAAAAAAAATAAATGGAACTAAAAATAGAAAGAAAAGGAAAAAAATAAAAACGGCTTAAATGATGAAGTCTGTGAAGATTTTAAGTAAACTTCTGAGATGTGTGAGAATCAGGCATCTTTAGCATTTAAATACTCTCTAATGTAGTAAGTTTTTATTTAAATATTTTAATCTATTCTTGGTATTGGCATACATGGAGAGACAATACTCTTGGTAATGGAGGAGGTAATACTCTTGATAATTTTGAGTTTCATTCTATGCAATCTCATTGAGACATTTGCAAAACAAAATACAGGGTTATTTTTAGTATGATAGGTGTCAAATACTAAAGATGCCTGGAGAATCATTTTAATTAAATCCTTTCAATCTTTATTATGGTCCTAAAATCATTTGAATCTTTTTATTTTTTTAAACTTTTTAAAAGTTAGATTATTAAAAATAAATATACTATATATTATAATCATGTAGTTATCTTGTTTAATGTTAGTTTGATTTGTTTTTGTATTCTATGCACTCTGAATGCTCTCATTTAAATCAGTTTGTACTTTTTTGATATATTCTGAAGATAATCTATTAAACAGATTGAAAACATCAGATTTTAAAACAATTTCTCACTGCAATGCATTACATATTGTTTTTGGTGTCATTTTAATATATTTCAGATTGAAATTAAATTTGCTTAATGTTTTCTACTTAAGGTAATCAATTATCTTTATTTATTTAAAAATAATTATCCATTTTTATTAAATTTTAAAAATTTTGTTAAATGATTAAATTTTTTACAAGAATAAATAAGTAAAATGTGGCATTGTTAAAGTTAACATTGTGGATTGTTTTTATTTTTGTAATAAAAAATTGAAAATTTATATTGTATAATAATAAATATTTTCATATATAAAGTGTGATTGATTTATTTTTGTTAACAGATAATTTATTTATGTAATATGAATTATTAATTAATTTATTTACTTAAATATTTCTGTGAATATCACATAAATTTTAAGCTTATTACTATAATTGCTTAGAAAAATATCACATTCAATATTTTCCAGTGGCACTGTACCATACAATTTATTAAGAGTAATAAGAATTTCATTTAAGATGGCAGCTTTAAGTGGATAATGATGTTAAATTTTAATTAATTTATTTACTTAAATATTTCTGTGAATATCACATAAATTTTAAGCTTAATACTATAATTGCTTAGAAAAATATCACATTCAATATTTTCCAGTGGCACTGTACCATACAATTTATTAAGAGTAATAAGAATTTCATTTAAGATGGCAGCTTTAAGTGGATAATGATGTTAAATTTAAAAAAATTTTTTTTCTCAATTATCAAAGAAAAAATTCTTTTCTTAATTTAATTTCAGAAACAAGTGTGAGATGTCATCTGCTATTTCAGAATATTAAGCAGATATTCCCTGCTTAATGTAAATAATTGTTGAAAATCAATGTTCATGAGAAAATGTTAATCAGGTGCCTATTTACCATTACTTTGTAATAAATTACAATTCTTCCCATTTAATGTGTCTGAAAAAATAAAAAACACAATACAACATCTGTATACATTTATGTGCTAATAAAATAGTTTTTAAATCTTTCATACATTGCTTTGGAACTGTAGATTTGAGTGCAATACTCTGATCTACGGTTCCAGAGGCATCAGGGATATCAGAGCCTTGAGTCTGTATTCCAGACCCTACAAAGCTTACTACTATTATTATTATGTAAAAGGAAGAAACTGGCTATCTGAGAAGACAGCCTATAAGGAAGGTAAGGGTAAGGTAAGATATGGGGAGTGTGGGAAAAGGGAGTGGAAGGGGGTGAAGGTTTGGATGAGTAATATTAGGAGGAAAGGTGTAGAAAATAACTGAGAAAAAATTTAGAGTAGGGTGGATACATGGTCCTGACATGCATTGCAATTATTAAAGATAAAACAATATACAATATATACAGCAAGAAATGCCATTCTGGCCAGATGAATGAATACAATATCTACAGATGAAGTAGCAACTACAGACAATATGCATGCATATTAACAAGTGAAGAACAAAAACCCAGGAACCCAGATGAGCATTAGCTGGTTGGATTTAGCCAGGTTCCTTAGGAGATGTTTGATGTTAAGGCTGGTTATTGTGTTCTTGCTGTTGGTAATAGTGTGAAGGACATACTTGCTATCTGTATTTATACTGATGTTACCCTCGTAAACATTTTTATTACTAGTTATTTGCTGTAGGGCCTTATAAATTGCAAGTAGCTCCACTTGATTGTTGAAACAGTGGTTCTTCAATCTAAAATGCTGTTGGTAGTTCCTACAAAGCTTACTGTCTGACTGCCACATCTGTCATCTGTGGCTTTCATTGGGGTTTTTGAATTCTGTCTGAACTGGATTGAACAGATGGCAACAGAATTGCATAATGGCACACAGACACATTATAAATAAAACTGGGGAGACTGATACAGTTCGGGCTCAGCAGCTCATTTTGACATGCCATCACTGCTAAGGAACCTGAAGGGTTTCCAAGGGTATGGCCTGAAGAAATTGGTTGGTGTTGCTGCTATGAACAAGTTTCTTAGGGAGGCCTCATCTTATAAGTGTTGTATAATCTATGAGCTTGTCTGGCCCAAGCTGGTATCTCTGCTAATGAATGAGCACACTTATAGGTGCATTCATCAGGCATCACTTGATAGGAGTGTTGCTGAAATGTAGCAGGAACTTTCTGCTTTGTAGTCTGTCACAAGATCTGTGTTCATGGTGGCTTTCTCATTGCTTACACAGCTACTAGGATCATGGTCCTGAAATATCTCTCTCTCTGGAAGCCAAGACATGCTTTACAAACCTTTGCATTCCCACCTCTAGTGTGTTGATATCTGGTGGTTGAATGCAGTTGCTCACACTCCAGCCTATAATAGCTGTATTTCTATCTACTAATACTCTTGTAACTGAAGCTTTGTTGGCCAGGGGTATAGAGCATGTATTGGATTTCAGGATCACACTAAATATTAGTTTGAAGTGTCATATAACCAAAGATAGGCTTAATAAACAAATTGAAATGTAATATATCTTTTGCTGACTGGTTATTTGTGTACTTCAAAGATGATATTGTCAAAATTAATCTCAATTCATGAGAGACAATAAAAAATATACGTGTATACCATAATGTTGCTCTGAATAACTAATTCATCTTTATCCCAGATTTGATCTTGAATTTCAGGCGATATTTCATGAAATTTCAAAATCTCATTGCCAAAGAATCATAGAACTTTCTTTGAACAATCAACATTAAGAATAACTTTTTCAAGTTACTGTCAGTGAAAGTATTGTTTATGCAGATTAATGCTGTTTTGTTCCATGATGCTATTTGAAAATTTATCTCCGTATACAATCGAATGGTTATGGACGGCCTTTTATATCTGGAGGTGCAAAATTTGTTTATACAACCAGGATAAGCAAAAGTACTGTCAGTTCACTCTTTGATAGAATTGAAGTGTGTAGCCTAAATTATCCATCTGATTTCTACTGCTTTTTTGATTCACATTCCTCATGTAAAATAAGACAATTCTAGTGACAAATTATAATTAAATTTACCATTAGAAGTGTTAAGTGCCATTTTTTATTAAATTTATTACATAGAAATTTAGTGTGAATGGACTGGTACTCAAAACTGGAAATATTGCAGACTAATTAGACAAAATTACCAATTAAGTTATGTATGTTTTTCAAGCAGGATTTTTACCAACACTTGATTACTTCTACTTGTTATTTTTTCCTACTTTAAAATTCTTAGATTCTTAAAACCTATTTTCCATTATGGAAAGAGAAATACAGCTATTGATCTATTAAGGTTTGATGAGAAGAATGCCAGATTATTATAAAAAAAAGACTATAAAAGCTGGCTTGACAAGTTTAAGGCATAAATTCTATGAAATGATATCACCAAAGCATGACATTTTTAACTGATATTCATGGGAAACAAGCAATATATTGCATTTTTGCTTTGCAGAATTTCTGGAAAATAGAGTGGAAACATTTTTGTCCATTGTCCTAAAGACATTAATTATCCTATTACTATGTCTTAAGTAAACATTTTGTCCAAAAGTACAGGTAACCACTGTAACTAGTGCAGCAAAAGGTATTTCTCTCTTCTTTGAAGAAACTTGAGAATATCCCTTGACTTTATAAATCAACTTGTTGCTAACTGTTTTTTCACATTCCCTCTGATTTTCCTACTTTTTCTTGAATCATTTACAGAATGGCTTTCCATTTTACCACCATTTTACTTAATTATGTTTGAGTAAAGATTGATAAATCATAATTTATTAGAAAAAGAAAATATGTAAGCAAAATAAAACAACTATTTCAAGAAAAGAAATCTTGAAATTGTATTGGCAATTAATAACTAATATTTTTACAGAATCTTGAGCAATATAAATCATTAATTCCCACTTCAGCATAAATATACTAGGGCATTGTTGCATTGTGATAGAATTGACATGGAGCCAGAAAGAAAGAAGTGATCCCTGTTCCTGTTAGGCATAGAATAGGTGAGCCTTGTATCTGCTGACATGGAGAGGCAATCCAAGAACAAAGTGTTTGTGTTTTGCGTCTATTTTCTGTTAGGTGCATGCAATGCTTTTTATTTTTGACCCCTACACCTAAATTCTGTGAATTGTGCTTAGTTGCATCAGAGAGCATGGACTTTGTCACAAAATACCTCTGTAAATCGAAAATAACATCATGGACTCTTATTTTTTATATTTAAATGGACTCTCATTACATTTTTGGATTCCTCATTGCAATTATAAGGCTAAAGTCAATTCTATAAGCTCATAGAAAGTGTGCTAACGTCCATGGGAAGTTGCATGACATTGCTTTGTCATGCACGCATGTGAAATGACCTTACATTTCAAAAACAAAGTCATGGGCCCCCCATGTTTTATTATATTTAAAAATATAATTTTAAATTCCTCATCACAATTAATGGAAAATGGTAAAGTTTAATCAAAATCGATCAAACAGGAGGGGGAAAAATTTCAATTTTGAGTAAGGGCTATTCATTGAGAATAAAAAAATGCAAATTATACACAGTATAAATCAATTATTTTGAATTAAAAAATGAATTTTAATCTTTAACTTTTCTTAAAATTTCAATATTTAGTCTAATTTTTTATTTTTTCATAATTGATAAGATGGTTCATTTGATTTTGAATTATTTCCTTTAAACAATTTTTAATGAAAATTAGTTTATTGATAAACTGCTGCAACATAATAGCTAAATTTTTATCATTATTTTTCTATTAATCTTGAAAAAATTTTTCTTGCTAATTTAATATGTACTGTACAATACATTTAAGTCTGTTAAGAGCTCAATTTGTTTAATATATAAAATATTAAGAATGCAAAAAATAAAATTGAAAAACTATCCATTATCAGATGGATAAAGGTGAATATTTACTAAATAACTTTTAAATAAAATTCTTCAAAATATTATATTTTCGTTTTACAAAAAAAAACAAAATTTGAAAAATAATTCTTAGAAAAAAAACACACTATTCTAAAAATTACATNAACAGAGACAGAAGGATCTACTTTGGCTAATTGTTCTATTACAAGAATACTAGAAAAAAATGTTGAATTTGTGCCTCCATATTCAGATTCAATATCAACTGCCATCAACTATAAAAATGTTAATTAAAAATGTTTCATTTCTAAAATGAAAACACATAGCTTAAACATTAAAGAATAAATTATATTATCAAAATATTTATTGTATAATGACATTATTACATGAAATAAACACATACTATTCTAATCTGAGATACAAAAGTTGTAAATTAAAGCATCAATAATATATAACCTTATGATTTAAATAAACAAAATATATATATATATATAGTGACTTTCAGAAGTTCAATAAGTTTATCAAGATTTGGCCTCTGGCCCAGAATCTCTGTGAAACTTGCATTTGCAAAATGCTGTCTATGAATCCTCTCAGAGGATATGCAGTTGCACAGTATGTGTTGAATATTTGATGCTCCTTCATATATACTTGCTGAAAGTATTCAATATATTATTTAATATTGAAGAAACTATTTTAAAATGTTTTAAAAATAGTATTTATGGTAACTACCTGCTTTACAGTCTCTGTAATATTTTTCTACAGGATAATCTGTGGTAAAACCAACTCCTCCCATCCATTCCACACATTTTGTAGTTGTCATACTAGCAACCTGCAATAACATTTGTGCAGAATTAGTAAATTATATCATGTAATAATTTTTTTAATTATATGTAATCTATTAATTAATTATTAATGTACAGTACTTCTGAAGCAAAATATTTAGCCATTGATGCTTCTTTAACAAGTAAATGTCCTGCCTCTTTCATTCGTGCAGCATTATAGGTCAGAAGACGAGCTGCTTCAATCTGAGTTGCAATATGTGATATCTGATGTTGCATGGCCTGAAAATTATAATAGATTACAAATTATATAATAATTAATATTTTTCAAGTTCATTAAATTATTCTTACTTGAAAATCAAACAGACGTTTACCAAACTGCTTTCTTTCAAATGTATAAGCAACTGCTTCATCAAAGCATCCTTGTGCCAATCCAACTGCCTAAATTTATAAAAATTATGTTGAAAGAAAATTTAAAAATTGTAATTACTTAGTATAAATATTTACTTTCAAATAATAAAACTTTCATTTAAGTATATTTCAACAGTATTCAACTTTTAGTTTTGATGTAATTTAAAAAATCAAAGGAAGAATGGGCAATTTTCATTTTCTTTATAAAATGTTATAATTGTCATATTCCAATAAAAGAATTTGGATATATATATAAATGAAATGCATGTTTAAGATTCATTTTAGCAATATAATGTTGTAGAAATCTTTGTTCTGGGATCAAAATTTCCTTTTCATATCAAACTAGAAATAGTTTAGTATAATAGTTTCCGTTGCAATTTGGAGCTAATTTAGAGTTAGCAAAATTATACACTTTCAGACAGAAGAAATGTGAAATCTTATTCTAACAAACCAGCTTTGAAAAAGCTATAAAGCTAATTTTAATTCATATTCAGTTATTCTTAACTGCTTACTTTCATAATACATTGTTACATTATCATACTTTAAGTTCTGAATAATAATCAATAATCAATTTACGAATCCAAAAGAAAAAGATGGTAAGAAAAAAAAGATAGAGATTAATATCAATAGCTGTACTATCAACTTTTTTTGGTATGAAATCCTCCATCCAAAACAACAGATAATAGTTACAAATCCAATACAATTATTATAAAATATTATTAAGTATATATATAATTTGTTTAACATTAATTTTTGGAAATTAAAATAATTTTCTATAATTGCTATTGTAAACAGGAAAACTTATTATCGGATAGTAATAAATAATAACATTGCAATTTACTGTCTGGTAATTTACAAGAAATTTCTATTGAAATTACTTTGAAAGTTACATAAGAAAAATAGGATTAGATTTGCTTGTAATTTTATAATAATACAAAAACAAACATTTACCAAGAAACAGATTATCTTACTTGAGAGGCAATGCCTATTCGTCCTTCATTTAATAAAGAAATAGCATATTTATATCCTTCACCAAATTTTCCAAGTATATTTGTTTCTGGAATCTAAAATGTGTATGTATATCTTAGAAGTGAATTAATTTAAAATACAAATACAATAAACTATTGAAAGAATAGAATATTCAAAATATATCTTCCAAAATTCTTCACACCATATAACTACTCTCCTGCTAATTCCAGCTCTTAATAATCTGGAGCTTCAATTATCTGGTATATACTCACTTATTTTCTTTTTGACTCTGCCTTGTGGACACTAACATGGCTTTTTTATCAAGTCAAACCTGGGTTCTGCCAGGTGCACCATGGGATGGCCAAGTGGTGAGGGATGGGACCTGACATATTCAGGATAGATCACCTGTAAAAAATTATTGGGGTTTTTGACCAATCCAATTTGTTCCTTGGTCCTCCAGAGTAATGGGCTAACACCTTAATTATTTTGGTCATTCAACTGGCATTTTCCAACTGCCTCATAGCACTCACCTATGTGCTATGAGGCATTTCATTCTTTCAAGAGTTTATTTTAATAAAATTTTAAAAATTCATGTTTACCCTGACATTATCAAAATTTACTACACACGTACTAGATGCTCTTAAACCCAATTTATCTTCTTTCTTTCCAACTGACAAACCAGGTGTTCCTTTATCCACTATAAAACAAGTTATTCCTTTATAACCCTAAAATAATTTTTATTGCAAATTATTTTGATTACAGAACATAAAATTTAAAATATATCAATAAATCACCTCAGTTGGTTTGGCATTAGCCATAACAAGGAATACACCAGCATGTTCTGCATTACTGATCCACATCTTAGATCCATTAATTATGAAATCAGAACCATCTTTAACAGCTTGAGTTTTCAAAGAAAAAGCATCAGATCCAGCTTCTGATTCAGATAAACAAAAAGAGCCCACCTAAAAATATTAATATTTTAAATTGCTAAATGATGTTTTATATATTAATGAAAATAATATTCTAAATAAAATATTGAAGAATACATTGAGAATATAAAATTATACATACCATATCTGTACATAATCTTGTTAAATAATTATTCTTTTGGTCATCAGTTCCAAATCTGCGAAACAGTTGAGTAATTAATGTATTCTGAACATCACAAAGAACAGAGACAGAAGGATCTACTTTGGCTAATTGTTCTATTACAAGAATACTAGAAAAAAATGTTGAATTTGTGCCTCCATATTCAGATTCAATATCAACTGCCATCAACTATAAAAATGTTAATTAAAAATGTTTCATTTCTAAAATGAAAACACATAGCTTAAACATTAAAGAATAAATTATATTATCAAAATATTTATTGTATAATGACATTATTACATGAAATAAACACATACTATTCTAATCTGAGATACAAAAGTTGTAAATTAAAGCATCAATAATATATAACCTTATGATTTAAATAAACAAAATATATATATATATATAGTGACTTTCAGAAGTTCAATAAGTTTATCAAGATTTGGCCTCTGGCCCAGAATCTCTGTGAAACTTGCATTTGCAAAATGCTGTCTATGAATCCTCTCAGAGGATATGCAGTTGCACAGTATGTGCTTAACACTTACAGTACAGTTACAATGTTGGCATAATGGCTGGTCTTCACCCTTCAAAAGGTATTGATGAGTCAACCAAGTATGCCCAATTCTCAAATGAGTAAGAATAACTTCAGATCTCCTGTTATACTGTTTATTACATGTCCAATTTTCTATCATCGGCTTGATCTCAGGTAGTTTATTGTGGATTTGTGCATTCCACAAGTTTTGCCATCTCTCTGCTAGTTGTTTTTTAACTACTAGCTTCAAATCACCTCCTTCGATAGGCATTTCATGCTGTGAAGGACTAGCTGCCTTTGTAGCTGTGTCAGCTTCTTCATTCCCTCTTATACCAATGTGGCCTGGGAAACCAACAAAATTTTATAGAGAGATTCCATGTAAGAAGATGGCAAATCAAATTATGAATTTTAATCACTATAGAGCGAGAACTAGGTTCACATGAGATCAAAGCCCGAAGTGCACTAACTGAGTCAGTGTAAATCACCCAGCAACTATGACCTTTACTGATTACATACTTTAAAGCTAGGTAAATAGCCCACAGCTCTGCAGTAAATATAGAAGAATTTGGTGATATTTGTTCACGATTTCATCCTGGCAAACAAAGGCTGAGCCAACATAGCTATCCGATTTAGATCCGTCAGTATAAATGGGAATTAAATTCCTGTCACGATGTTGAATCTCTGAGAAGCACTGTCTATAGACGTAATCCAGCATGGTTTTTTTGGGTACTGCTTTAAGCTTAAATCAACATCCATTGCTGGGGTGACCAAGGGGGTCACCCCAGCAATAGATGTTGATAATGACATTATTACATGAAATAAACACATACTATTCTAATCTGAGATACAAAAGTTGTAAATTAAAGCATCAATAATATATAACCTTATGATTTAAATAAACAAAATATATATATATATATAGTGACTTTCAGAAGTTCAATAAGTTTATCAAGATTTGGCCTCTGGCCCAGAATCTCTGTGAAACTTGCATTTGCAAAATGCTGTCTATGAATCCTCTCAGAGGATATGCAGTTGCACAGTATGTGCTTAACACTTACAGTACAGTTACAATGTTGGCATAATGGCTGGTCTTCACCCTTCAAAAGGTATTGATGAGTCAACCAAGTATGCCCAATTCTCAAATGAGTAACAATAACTTCAGATCTCCTGTTATACTGTTTATTACATGTCCAATTTTCTATCATCGGCTTGATCTCAGGTAGTTTATTGTGGATTTGTGCATTCCACAAGTTTTGCCATCTCTCTGCTAGTTGTTTTTTAACTACTAGCTTCAAATCACCTCCTTCGATAGGCATTTCATGCTGTGAAGGACTAGCTGCCTTTGTAGCTGTGTCAGCTTCTTCATTCCCTCTTATACCAATGTGGCCTGGGAAACCAACAAAATTTTATAGAGAGATTCCATGTAAGAAGATGGCAAATCAAATTATGAATTTTAATCACTATAGAGCGAGAACTAGGTTCACATGAGATCAAAGCCCGAAGTGCACTAACTGAGTCAGTGTAAATCACCCAGCAACTATGACCTTTACTGATTACATACTTTAAAGCTAGGTAAATAGCCCACAGCTCTGCAGTAAATATAGAAGAATTTGGTGATATTTGTTAACGATTTCATCCTGGCAAACAAAGGCTGAGCCAACATAGCTATCCGATTTAGATCCGTCAGTATAAATGGGAATTAAATTCCTGTCACGATGTTGAATCTCTGAGAAGCACTGTCTATAGACGTAATCCAGCATGGTTTTTTTGGGTACTGCTTTAAGCTTAAATCAACATCTATTGCTGGGGTGACCAAGGTGATATACTATCAACCTTAACCAGTGAGATGTGGTTTGCGTCCAGGTCAATCGTGCTGCTTATATTCTCCATTCTTATGTCGAATGTAGGGACACTACTTGCCTGAGCTGCAAATAATCTTTTCAACTGAGTATCTGAACAATTAGCTGTAAGTCTTTTCTGAGATGTTTGTTTAATGTAATAAAAAAGAGACAACTGTTCTCTCCTGAGAGATAGTGGAGGCTCATAAGCCTCCACGTACTAACTTTGGACAGGGGAATTTCAAAATGCACCAGTGCACAAACGCAAAGCTTGATGATGGATTGGATCCAGCATTCGAAGAGTAGATTCTTGCGCAGAGCCATAAACAATGCATCCATAATCCAGCTTTGAGCAGACAAGGCCCTATAAATCCTAAGCATAGAACATTTGNGTGAAACTTGCATTTGCAAAATGCTGTCTATGAATCCTCTCAGAGGATATGCAGTTGCACAGTATGTGCTTAACACTTACAGTACAGTTACAATGTTGGCATAATGGCTGGTCTTCACCCTTCAAAAGGTATTGATGAGTCAACCAAGTATGCCCAATTCAAGTAAGGGTGATATACTATCAACCTTAACCAGTGAGATGTGGTTTGCATCCAGGTCAATCGTGCTGCTTATATTCTCCATTCTTATGTCGAATGTAGGGACACTACTTGCCCGAGCTGCAAATAATCTTTTCAACTGAGTATCTGAACAATCAGCTGTAAGTCTTTTCTGAGATGTTTGTTTAATGTAATAAAAAAGAGACAACTGTTCTCTCCTGAGAGATAGTGGAGGCTCATAAGCCCCCACGTACTAACTTTGGACAGGGGAATTTCAAAATGCACCAGTGCACAAACGCAAAGCTTGATGATGGATTGGATCCAGCATCCGAAGAGTAGATTCTTGCGCAGAGCCATAAACAATGCATCCATAATCCAGCTTTGAGCAGACAAGGCCCTATAAATCCTAAGCATAGAACATTTGTCTGCTCCCCAGGATAAGCAGCACAGAACCTTTAAAAGGTTCAAAGATTTTAAACATCTACTCTTCAAGTTGTGCAAATGTTGTAAGAAAGTCAGCTTTTGGTCAAAATAACACCTAAAAACTTAGCCTCCTTGACCATTGGGATTTTATCCCCATTTAGGTAAATTTCTGGATCCAGATGCAAACCATGCCTTTGGTAAAAGTGGATGCTTGAGGTCTTCTCTGTGTTGAAACTAAAACCATTGGTCTTGGACCAATTGTGTATGCAATTTAGGGAGGTTTGAACTTGTCTCTCAATGAAACTCATGTTACTAGCCTGGCAAGAGATCTGAAAGTCATCCACATACAGGGAAGGTTTTACACTAGGAGGGAGACAGTTAGCTATGCTATTGATTTTAATTAGGAACAGAGTCACACTCAGAATAGAGCCTTGAGGGACACCTTCTTCTTGTGTGAAAAGCCTAGATAAAGTTGTGCCCATCCTGACTTGGTATCTTCAATTCTGTAGGAAGTTTTTTATAAAAATTGGTAAATTATCCTGCAATCCGAATTGGTGCAGATCACGGAGTATCCTGTATCGCCAACAGCAATCATAGGCCTTCTCAATATTGAAAAACACAGACACTAAGCGCTGTTGTCTAACAAACACCTCGCGTATAGATGTTTCAAGGTTTACTAAGTTGTCCGTTGTACTTCTGTTCCTACGAAAACCATTCTGATGTGGTGAAAAGTATTCATTTTTCTCTAAGAGATACATCAGATGTCTGTTTATCATTCTTTTGAAGAGTTTACAGAGACAACTCGTCAGAGAGATTGGTCTGTAATTAGAGGGATTCTTGCAGTCTTTACCGGGTTTTGGAATGGAAATGATAATTGATAGTCTCCAAGAGTTGGGAAAAGTATGTTCTGTCCATATTCTGTTAAACAGATTCAGAAGTTTACTAGGGGAATTAATTGCCAGACAGATTTTTAATCATGCTGTAGTGGATTTTATCCGGGCCTACAGCACTATTCTTTGAGCAAGAGATCGCTGTATGTAGTTCTGTGTTGGTGAATGGCACATTATATTCCTCATTAGATGAGGAGTGAAAATCTAAACACTGTTTTTCAATTTGGGCTTTATAAACCTGAAAATTCCTTGGATACCTAATATTGCTAGATGAAGAGGAAAATGTTTCACCTAATGTATCAGCAATACCCTGTATATCGCTGATTATTGTGCCATTATTTTCCAGCATGGACAGAGAATGAGAAGCATATTTCCCATTGATTTTATGGATTTTATCCCAGACTGCCTTTGAGCTAGTGGAAGACGTTATGCTAGAAACATACTTCCTCCAAGAATTCCTTTGGCTTTGCCTTCTTATTCTTCTGGCATTTGCCTTCACTTTTTGAAAAGCAGTCAAATTGTTAGCAGTGGTGTATCTTCTGAAAATCCCCCATGCTTTCTTTTGTTTTTTAAATGCTGCCTCGCAATTCTGATCCCACCATGGTTTCAGATGTTTTGGATATCTCATTGATGTTTTTCCCACTGTTTTTTCAGCTGCCTGAATAATACTGGAAGTGACAACTTCAATTGCATCATTGATATCTGCAATATTAACCATATCCTCAGTGATGTTGGCCATAGAAGTAAATACAGGCCAATCGGCTGTTTCCAATTTCCAGCATGGTGGACGAGCTGTTTCACAGCTTTCTCTGCCTTGATATTTTGAAAATATTGGGAAGTGGTCACTAGAGAGTGGATTAGATCAACCTCCCATGTAAATGCTGAAAACAGGTTTGGACTTGCTAATGATAGATCAATGGCAGTGAATGTTCTTGTTAGGGCATGGAAGTATGTCACTTCACCAGTATTAAATAAATACAGTTGGTGATTACCTATAAATCTTTCAATGGCTCTGCCTCGACAGTTGATGTCGAGACTGCCCCACATTGGATTGTGACCATTGAAATCCCCGAGTAAAAGAAATGGAGTTGGCAGCTGTTCAACCAAGGCATCCAATTCATCCTCGTTGACTCTGACATCTGGTGGCAAGTATATAGAACAAACTGTGACAGTTACTCCAATAGAAATTCTGACTGCAACAGCTTGCAAATCAATGGTTATTTGTACTGTCAAGGATGGGATGTGATTTAAAACTACAATAACCACACCTCCACTGGCACGGTTGCAGCTACCATCATCCTTGTGGTAGAGATTGAATCCTTTTAAAGAAATATTTTCTCCAGGTTTTAGATGGGCTTCCTGGAGTGCCACACAGAGAGATTGCGTAGATGATGTCAAGTGTTTAATGTCAGAGAAGTTGTTGCGGAAACCACAACAGTTCCATTGAATTATTTTATAATCGATTATGTGTTTGAGGCAGCATTCTTTGTGAAGGTATCCCTCTTTAGTTTTACAGATGATTTGCCTTTTGGAGGTGACATTGGTGGTGTCACCTCCTTATTATCTCTTCATCAGAGAAGTCAAAGAACTCACTCATAGACTGAGCCTCTGATTTTTAGATTTAGAGAGAGTTGCTTTCACTCTCTGTTTGTTTAGTGGGTTCTTATTAGCCTTTTTAGAACCCACATTTCTTGTTATTACCCCTGTTTTAGGTAGGGGTGTTTTGGTCTTCTTGCTCTCCTTTTCTGCTATTTAGGTAGATGGTATGAGCAAACATTTTTCATGGCGAGTTAGAGATTCATTTGGTGAAACAGAAATGTCTGTCTGAACTCCACATGTCTTTGTGGATTTCAAAAGAGCAGCAAATGTCTTCTGTTTCACTGGTGCATATAAAGTGACCATGTGTCGTGTCTCTGGGTAAGGTATATTATTCAACGTCTTCACCCACTGAATCTCTTTCTCTCTTTGCCACGTGGGACATTTTCAGGAGTAGGCAGGGTGGATGTCTTTGCAGTTGATGCAGCATGGAGTAGCTGTACATTCAGTACTCTCATGATCTTCTTTTCCACATTGAGCGCATGCACTTCTCTCTCGGAAAGATGTCTGTGAATGTCCAAACCACTGGCATTTAAAGCAGCGCAGCGGGTTTGAAATATATGGACGAACTGGACAGCACAGATATCCTGCGGTAACAAATGATGACAATGTCAGCTTTCCAAAAGTAACAATGAGATGTTTAGTTGGAATCAACTTGCCATCTCGACGAATAGAGATGCGTCGGACAGCAGTGACACCTTGATCTGAAAAGCCGATCTGAATATCTGATTCATCTTCAGACATCAGATCGATCTCTGATATCACCCCACGTGATGAGTTTAGACTTCTATGTGGGGTGACAGTGACTTCCATGTCTCCCAGTGTTTTTGTTGCCAATAGATTTACTGTTTGTTGAGGTGAGGCTGTTTCTACCAGCAGGTCCCCTGACCTCAATTTTTGTTTCTTTTTCAAGTGTTCAATGGTTGATTCAAATACTTTTTGAATAAGAAATGGAGAGCATTTTGACATTGGTTTATCTCCAGTCGCATGAATTATCAAATAGGTTGCAGCACTGGAAACATTGGTTGTTACTGGAGGTAACTTATCTCTGTTCGGTTGTTTTGAATTTTTTGAATCCATATTTAAAAAAATAATTCAGCTCCTAGTGACCCACCCACCATGGGGCCCAACAAGGGGATGCCATCACATGGGAGACTCCCATAGACCGTCACACCAGGGTTTCCAAGGAGCTATACCCTCACAATGCAGTCAAGAAGAGCACATCTTGTCTGACGTGTCCGCCCGATCTGCATCAATCAGTTGACTCCAAGCTGAGGTCATGAATGACTCAACAACCAGCCAATTGATTCAAACGGAGCCTGATTTCAGCCTCCTGTTTATCCGAAGCAGGGGCCAAAGCAGTGTGTTGTGGACGTTATGTTGCCCCTCAACTGCCAGGATTCCCCTTTCTGGCATATGGGATACCACGCACGGCAAACATGTGGGTGGGCATTCGGATCCCAGGGATGGTAAAGAAGAGGTCCCCTCGCCACGGACAGGAACCCATATCAAGGGGATATTCTGCAGAGCATTCCCCCAACAGTGGTACTGATCTCCAATGACAAAGCCCATTTTCATTTATTGGGGACGGTCAACAAACAGAACTTTAGGTACTGGACAGTAATCCTCGAGAACTCCACCAACGACCACTCCATAGTTCGAAAGTTACAGTTTGGTGTGCCATAGGTGATTTCAGTGTGTGGGGTCTTTATTTCTTTGACGAGGGTGGTGTTACAGTGACAGTAACATAGCATACTATTGTGAATTGCTTGAGAATTTTCTCCGTCCATTAGTTAACGGTTTACTCAATGATCATGATCTGGAAGATGTATGGTTTCAGCAAGATGAAGCCATGTTGCATACCTGCAGAAGATCACTCGGAATTCTCAGAAACTTCTTTCTGGGCCATCTTGTCTCTTTACAGGGTGATATTGGTTGGCCACTGCGTTCGCTGGATTTGGCCCCATGTAATTTTTTCTGTGGGGCTATCTCAAATCAAAAGTGTACCAACACCGACCAACAAATTTGCAAGAACTCAAGGCAGCAATTATGCAAGAAATCACAGTGATTCCGCTGGATATGGTCCACGGATTAATGCAAAATTTCCAAAAGAGACTTCAAAACTGCATTGACATTGATAGTCACCATTTAACTGATGTACTCTTCAAAACCTAATGGATGACAATGGCATACTGTGTAGTTATCAGGTATAAAAGATTTCTTTCTCTATCTTGCTTTGTATTTTTTTTTATTGTCGTTCCAAATCAGAACGTTCTTTTTGCCGCACCCTGTGTATATACTTCTTAATATATGTTGAACTTCATGAATAGTTTGATGCCTTTTTATAATAATAAAAACAACTCAGTTTAAAAAATCAGATGTATTCTCATTATTTTTTTAATAACTATTAAAGTATATCTGCTTTTTTAAACTGAGTTATTTTTATTATTATAAATGACATCAAACTATTCATAAGTTCATATACATTGGCTTTATGAGTTATATAAATCATTTAGGCCTATACTTTGACTCACAAGTTATCATTACTATTACATTACACTATATCTTCAAATTAACAAAGAAAAAAGACCAAAAGAAATTTTGAATAATAAATTTAAAATATTAATTATATAAATATGATATGACTGAAAGCAATATTTATACAATATTAATTCTTGTTTTGAATATCTACATATTGATAAATATATCAATTTGAAATTCTGTCATAAAAAAGAGAAGAATGATATTTTGAATTCTGTAACTAATAATAATTTGTAACTATTGTTATTCATATAAAGATTTTTATCTCCTAATGACAAGTTAGCAATCACAAGTGAGAATAGCAATTATATAGGCAAATGCAAGTATCAAACAAATTGTAGAGATAAAGATTTTTTTATGCCAACATCTCATTAATATGCTGGCAAAAAAAGTCTTTATATATTTTTGATATCTCAAATTCTTAAAGTGGTTATTTAAGAATTTTGGCTATTATATGATTGAATTTAAGAATTTATTATTGTTATTTGATATATTTAAATCAAAAATACTTTACTACTTACTCCATGCTCAAATAGTTGCTTGATAATTGAAGGATCCATTTGTGATTCTTTATCCATTTTTCGAACTAGAGGTTTAATTTTTTCTTGAGCAAATTTTGCCACTGAAAAATTTTCAAAATATTTATTACAGAACAAATATTATTGAATATGCTATTGTTCTAAACAGCATTGCATGACTTGTTAAAATGAAGAATTTATGAAGAATATTTTGCAATTTTAATAAAACAATCAATCTGCATTTAATATGCAAATTAAATTTTAGCAATTTCAAAGATATTTTAGATAAAAAGCATTGAAATTATTATATATAAATAAATTTACAAATAAATTTTTTAATCTTCATTTTCACAATGGCATTTAATAACTGTTTAACTATAGTAAATGTTCAAAAATTCTCTCCTAATACCTCCCTTAGTGGTGTGGTCTATTAATGATGAATCAAAACAGGTTATGTGGGAGAAGCTGTTAATATAATAGACCCTCTCTTTAATCTGTATAGTCTAGTACAGGGATCAGCAACCTTTCAGAGGTGTTGTGCCGAATGTAAGTTAGTGTTATTCCAAGTGCCGACATGATTCTACCAAGTTTATTATATATGTTATCAAAATTAGTCCTTCAAAAATGTATAATTTTGAAGTTAAGATGTTAATTGAATTATGTTCTTGCATAATACATAGATGGCAACATAGATCATAAACACATGTGCTGTAATAGAAATATACAAACAAGAGATTCGTTTTTAATGTACCACGGCCTTCGCTGAACTATGACTTCCATTTAAATGTGTAATTAATAATTAAAATATGATTTTTACTACATTTCTATTCAATCAGAGTGCCACTGAAAATTGTCCCATGTGCCACATTTGGCATGCAGGACGACTTTCATAGGTTGCCACCCCTGGTCTAGTATATTGAGAATGGAACTATACAAATTTATTATCAAGTATAGGTCTCAATTGTATGCCAGGCTTGTGGATTTTAGCAAAGGCCACTGACTGACTATACATACAGGAATCAGAGTTGCTGATTTTTAGGGGTTGATATCTCTGTTCCCCAACACCTAAATTAATTTTGAATATCTTGTTTGAAAGATAATTGTTTTTTTTAGGTAGTGTGAAAAATTTCAGATATTTCTATAAAGGAGATGCTAAAATATAAGCAATGAAAAGTGCAAAAATTGTCAAAAAAGCCATATTTTTTTCTTCTTTTCTTCATTCAGCACTGCAGATACTCTTACGAAAAAACTAACGGATCTAGAAAGTTTAAATTTTAAACTTAAGTCTTTCTTGTTATGAGTGAGGTGCTGGTGAAACTTTCAGATCAATAGGTCATAGTTCGTAGAGACCATAGAGCTATTTTATGTTTATAAAGATAAAATTGCAGCAAAATGAATCATTTTTATTCAAAATGTTATCCAGAATAACAAAAGCTCAAATTCATGTGAACTAAAACTTTTTAAAATGATTTTACTAAATGGTGAATTTGAAAGAATTTGGTTGATGGCTGTTGCTAAGTGCCAACTGAGTATATGTCACTGTCTTAGGTCTTGATGTTTAAAAAAATTATTAACCAAAAAGACAACTGATATCAAAAAAAGAACATCCAAGATATAAAAAATTGCACCAAGTACAAAATTATGACAATTTAAGTTAGATGTGTCAAATTTTTTCATATGGATTTTCTTTGGTAAAGATAAACTTGACACTTTGAAGTGGTACCCACAAGATTTTTATTATTTTCTACATTTCACTTTAAACTGTCAAGCTTATCCAAGCTATGAAAAAATTTGACTCATCTAAATTGTCATAATTTTTTACTTTGTGCAATTTTTTTACATCTCAGATGTTTTTGGATTCAATATGTAAGGAACCAAGTCCGTGCTTTATTTTTAGTTTACTTTTACTTTGCTTTATTATATTTTTGTTTGGGGCTTATGTTTGGTTAGGACGAAGGTTTCCTCACCCACCACCCTAACGTTCAAAACGAGAAGATAAAAGATTAACCAACTCACCGACGACGAAACGATAGCGCCATAGCTAGCATTGCACTCACGTGCACGCCCGAGCGGCAGAATTGTAAGTCCGCACTGAAGGGGGGGACACCCCAATAGACTTTCTAGGAACTTGTGTAACCTTAACAAAACATCCCGATAATTGTTAAAGAAATGCTGTAAAAGGTTAACAAAGTATTGTCGAGAAATAAGCTACCAGATAACGAAGAGAAAACAATGTTACGTGTAGATATGTAAATGAGGGGAGTGGCTACAGTAGAACTGTGACGTCACCTCATACTATAAGTACAGTAGCTCAAGTGAAGACAGAAGAGGTGAGCTCCTGAACCGAAAGCGTTGGTCTGCTGGTAGCAGTGAATAGGTGTCGAATAGGAAATCCTAGTAGGAGATTGAAGGTTCGATTTTGGTGATTTGGAAATAGGAAAGTCTTGAGTAGAAGAAAAGGTTCCGAGTATTAATTGAGGTGACGGTTAGGATTGATAGTTATAAGAGAATTTGTATCTAAGTTAAGAATTGGATTTTGTTTTGTCGGAATTCCAAGGGGAATAGTTCTAAGTTAGAATAAGACTTAAGTTTGTCGGGTTGATTTGTGATTTGATTTTTGATTAATAAATTTGTTGTTTGTTTATAAATCTTGTACATAGTATTGGTTAAACTTGATTAAACATTTATTATTGAGATTTTTTTGTGACTAACTTTGTCCTTAATTTATTTCGGTGCACGCTAAAAGTCCAGGCCTGGCAACTAACAAACGCGAACCCGCGTAAAGTACCCGCTAGGTCCCGGCTCTAAGAAAAATATCGTTGTAGAGCAACAAATTAAAAATAGTACTTTACAAATATTCAAGAAATTGCTAACATTTATCAGGCTAAGATTGAGCTAATTAAATTATTTTAATAACTTTGAATTAATTAGATTTCTATATTTTTGAAAAAATTCCAAATTCAGAATAGGTTTTAATATTGAAGAGTATGGGATTGTTTATATTTTATGTTTCATTTATATACAATAAAATTATTTGTCAAATTACATAATTAAATTGAAGTGAAAAACAATTTGTTACCTGATTCTTTCATCATATATTCATCATCATTTAATACTGTTAATGGTTTACAATGATACCTTCCAACAGTTTGCAATTTGGCATTGTAAAGAATAGAGTTGAGAAATTGTTTATATTTGCAACATTGAGAAATGTTGGAAGTGCCCTAAATAATGAAAAAAAATCTCTTTAATAAAAATAATTCAATCAAGTTTATTAGTTATTCCATAACAGAATAATATATTAAAATTTGAGGATTAAATTATTATTAAATTTAATTTTTAATAACTTCAAATTAAAAAATTCAGATTTTATAAATATTCAAAATCATCAATAACACTTAAACTTATAAAAAAACCAGCGTTATAAAATTTTTACCACTTTAAAAGTTATATAGGCTACTTTTGTAATGTTTATCATTTCCTTTTCAGAAGAAGCCAATTCACTAAAGAAAAATCACTGATTTAATAGCATAGTGATCAATGAATTTATTTTAACAGGCATTATGAATGAAAAGTTCAAATTGCACAAATAGAAAGAAGTGTAAATTAAACATCACAAATCTACTTAGAAGCAAAAATGTATTAAGCAGATTGTTCCTAATAATTATTATTAAAATTGGAAACTTAAAATTTCAAACTTTATACAAGAAGTTGATTTTTAATATTTTGGAGTTATCTCAGAGAGAACCAATTATAACTGGAGCTACTTAATAAATTTATGCACCATATATCATTATCTTTTTAAAAATTATTTTTAATTTTTGTGATACATGAATTTATTAAATAATTCCAGTTATAAGTAGTTCTCTCTGAGATAACTCCAAAATATTACAAATCAACCTGTAGTATAAGGTTTAAAATTTAAAAATTTTTCAATTTTAATAATTAACTACTGTAATTAGAACTGGATAAAAATAAATGCATTCTACACAACTAAAATCCAGTATAAAAGTTAGTTTGTTTTATGCTGGATATTAAATGTGTAGATTGCATTTATTTAATAATACTGTAATTATTAGAAGCAATGCTTAATGTATTTCAGTTTCTACATAGTTAGATATTTATATTATAACAGTTATTGTAAATAATAACATTAAAACACTTGCAGTATAGAATTAGTGTACATCAGGATAACTTAATAATTTGAGAAACTCAGTTTATAGATATTAACAATTTAATTAATTTAAATCTTCTCTACTAGCAGTTCGGATGATCTGGCACTCAAACAACCAATAAAAAATAAAACAATTACAGAATCCATATTATAGTTTATACAATAAATTAACGTTTAACTGCTGAATCATCTTACAAGCCATATTATTTTATGGAAAACATATTTACACATTTCCTTTATATGTTACATAATCACATATTTCCATGTTATATACAGTAATCTTACAAGCTAAATTGTACTGTTTCACCATAAACAAAATACATACAGTATTACATTTCATTAGTTTATAATTTAAATAAAACATTATAATTGCTTAAAACATTGTTCCCAACTGTATGGTGAAATTGCATAATTATAAAATATTGAATCAAACACTGAATTTATTAGATTATAAACTAAAAGGTTTTTTTCCAGTAAATGAATAAAGATTCATTAAACCATTTTATTACCTTTTTAATATATTGTGTGAAATAAAGAGCCATTTTAAAATATTTTAAAAATTAATATATGATCTACTTGTAGGGATTTCTGCTACTTTTATTATAATAAAGATATATATTACACGAATCTTTAATTCATATTATTTTACTAAGATTTAAGCATGTATAATGTTACATAAAAAGAGAATTTTCANAGAAGTTGATTTTTAATATTTTGGAGTTATCTCAGAGAGAACCAATTATAACTGGAGCTACTTAATAAATTTATGCACCATATATCATTATCTTTTTAAAAATTATTTTTAATTTTTGTGATACATGAATTTATTAAATAATTCCAGTTATAAGTAGTTCTCTCTGAGATAACTCCAAAATATTACAAATCAACCTGTAGTATAAGGTTTAAAATTTAAAAATTTTTCAATTTTAATAATTAACTACTGTAATTAGAACTGGATAAAAATAAATGCATTCTACACAACTAAAATCCAGTATAAAAGTTAGTTTGTTTTATGCTGGATATTAAATGTGTAGATTGCATTTATTTAATAATACTATAATTATTAGAAGCAATGCTTAATGTATTTCAGTTTCTACATAGTTAGATATTTATATTATAACAGTTATTGTAAATAATAACATTAAAACACTTGCAGTATAGAATTAGTGTACATCAGGATAACTTAATAATTTGAGAAACTTAGTTTATAGATATTAACAATTTAATTAATTTAAATCTTCTCTACTAGCAGTTCGGATGATCTGGCACTCAAACAACCAATAAAAAATAAAACAATTACAGAATCCATATTATAGTTTATACAATAAATTAACGTTTAACTGCTGAATCATCTTATAAGCCATATTATTTTATGGAAAACATATTTACACATTTCCTTTATATGTTACATAATCACATATTTCCATGTTATATACAGTAATCTTACAAGCTAAATTGTACTGTTTCACCATAAACAAAATACATACAGTATTACATTTCATTAGTTTATAATTTAAATAAAACATTATAATTGCTTAAAACATTGTTCCCAACTGTATGGTGAAATTGCATAATTATAAAATATTGAATCAAACACTGAATTTATTAGATTATAAACTAAAAGGTTTTTTTCCAGTAAATGAATAAAGATTCATTAAACCATTTTATTACCTTTTTAATATATTGTGTGAAATAAAGAGCCATTTTAAAATATTTTAAAAATTAATATATGATCTACTTGTAGGGATTTCTGCTACTTTTATTATAATAAAGATATATATTACACGAATCTTTAATTCATATTATTTTACTAAGATTTAAGCATGTATAATGTTACATAAAAAGAGAATTTTCACGTATAGATCGATTTCTATTAAAACTTCAACCATACACCTTAAATATAAACAAACTCTCCATGCACGAGACTGGAAGTGTTGCCATTTGTTGGCCATTTAAACATGTGGTTTTAGAATTTTATTATTGTTTTAATTTTCACGAGATAAAGATGTTACTAAAAATTCAATTAAAATTACACAAATAATTTTTTTAAATGTATAAAATTAACTTTTTATTGATTTTGTTTTGATCAACTAAACGTGATTTTTTTTAAACTCTCCGCCTTGTGACCTTGATTAGCGAGTCCATTATGCATTTGGCAAGATTTACAACTGGGTGGTTGGATGCTGTGGAAAGGGGCGACAATCCTTGAGGTATTTTGCGCCAGTTCAGATTTGATCCCAGGTCTCTAGAGAGGTAGGCTGCTGCTGTGACCATTCGGCTATCAGCCCTCTATTCAGCGGCCGGATGGCCAAGCGGTCAAGGTGGCAGCCTACCGCTCTGTGGGACCCGGGTTCGAATCCGAACGGGTCGAAAAATCCCCAGGAATTTTTCGGGGGGTGGTCCGTTCGGATATGTCGAGCCCCGTCCCTCACCACCCGGCAGCCCCATTATGGGCCTGGCCGAACCCATAATGGGCTTGCATAAAGAACCCCTCTTAGTGCCCACAGGGCGGAAAGAGTTAAAAAACAAAAAGCCCTCTATTAAACTAATTTAATGGCCTAAAACAAACGACGTGTGCTTTGCTTGTCGGACAGCCGGATAGTTGAGGCCTCAACTTATTCTGGATGATTAGAAATCAAATTCTAGATAGAACCTCAGAAATTTTTTATTTTTGTTTTTTCATTTTTGTCACGTGCTTATTTGGCACCCTATCTCACAAACCAGCCGTCTCCTAGCGGAATTCACAACGAACATGGCATTAAGAGGGACCACATACAGGGGCGCCGCTAGCTGTTTGAACGCCCGTGTGCAATACCGATTATGCCGCCCCCTGTTTAACTACGACTACCTACGCTGAGCTTGCCAGAAAGGCTCTTTAGTGTTGTCTCATAAGGGTGTGAAAAAAGAAAAGAAATACTTTACAAAGAAAAACTATTTATTATTACTAAGTTATTTTTGTTTACTTAAGTGTAAAACCATATAAATATTTATCTACAGAAATTGAACTCTTCTTGCCTTTATGTTTGCGAAATCTGCTATCAATTTTCTTGTATCCAAGCTGTCTAAGATTTCGTGTTCAATTGAAACTATAGCTAAATTACTTAGTCTTTGCTGGTGCATTGTTGATCTTAAATTAATTAATTAATTAAATAGTTTTTTATAATTTTTAACTTTGAAAAGGACCTTTCACCAAATGCAACTGAAACCGGCAATGTAAGTAATATTCTTAGTGCTATTGCTGTGTTTGGAACTGTTGAAATTAAGTCATTAGTAAAAAGATATTGTAATGGGGTTTGTGGATCATTAGACTGGTTTTCTGTAAAATGCAACTTTAAAGTATTGATTTCATTAAACAAATCAATACTGTCAATGTCTGTTTCACTACTTGAATCGTCTTTAGGCTTCAGATTTAAATCCTAACCAAGTTAAAATATCATTAATTATACTTCGACCCATGTCAGGAGAATTATTAACAAAATAATTGCAATTTGATATGCAATAGAACTGTTCGAATACGTACAGTACAAGTACAAATTGAGAAGGAAGCTCTGTAGAAATTCCCTATTTTCGCCAAACCTGTCAACTTCTGTCATACAGCACGACTATTGGTACTTGGATTTCGGGTGCCCGTCAGATGGTTCAACCTGCCGACAGACGTTTCGCATTGCATCTTAATTCTGATAAATGCCAATAAAGGCGCTGTTAACACTATAATATAAATAAGAATATAGTAATTGCGCGCCAGTCGGATTTTTTTCTCCATGCGAAGACATTTCTTATGCTATAAGTAGGGTGGGTATTATGACAATGACTAATTATTACGTGACCGATCGCTCGATTTGCCGCCCCTTGGACGTGCGGCCCGTGTGCGGTGCACGCCTTGCACGCCCGCTTACGGCGGGCCTGAATTTATATTACTGTTATGTTTATTCAATTAAAAGGATCGAACGTGAACGAAAGAAAAGCCGCTCATAATGAGATCTTCACCGATAACAGTATAACGGACCGTACAGAGTTTGCCTAATAACATTAACATTAAAAAAGTACAGATTGTAACAATATTATATTTAATGAAAAGAAAAGTTTAATAGTGATGTTTTTAGGTTACATCTGCAAATTTCATTTTGAAAATTGCATTTGTCAAAAATGGAGATATTTTAGTTTTTAAAGTGAAATAAATAAAATCCAACAATGTTGTCACATAACGCAGGTAACGTATTTGTCCGAAGTAACCAATAATTGGCATGCATTGTTAAGGACAAACTCCTAAGCACATGTGAAAAAGAAAGAAAAAGCAAACTTAATTTGCATCAGTGCCTGATCCTGTAACACCAATTTATGTAAATTAAGACAGTGCGGAGCTGCACTCAACGTGAATAAAAGGCGGCAGATCCACTACGGAGGTAGGTAGCTTCAGCTGAATAACTGTGGTAGAGACGCCTGTGATCAATTAGAGGAAGCCGTATCTTTTTGCTATAGAATCCTTTTGAGGTGGAGATAAAAGTTTTGTTGATTTGGATATTATAAGTATAATTGTCTTTGATTATTATTTTTTGTTGCTACTTTTCTATTATTCAATTATTTAACTTACTGTTGGGGCAATTAACCCATTATTGTTTTGTTTGTCAATATAATACTTATATTTATTGTGAATTAGTATGTGGTTGTGGAAATTATTGTTTTTTTTTTTTATTTGGAAAGTCCAGGCCTGGTACTTGAACCCAAATATTGTGTAATCCCTTTTTGTTTTCATAAACAAAAAGGGATTACACAATACGTTACACTGGTATAAAACACTCTTCAACTGTATAAATATACTTTTAAAAAAATTATAATTAAATATAGCTTTGTAAAAAAACGTACATAAAAATAACATAAAATCTTAAAACAATCCACTTAGTCAAATAGATCCCTAAGAGTGGCTAATGGATGGAATCAGAGACACCAGGTAAGTGTGCAGTGCGGGCTGCCAAATCCCGAGAGTGCAAATACTGGTCAATGTCAAATGCCTGTTTAGTCGCATTATTAGTATACCTCAAAGGACGTGAGAGGGTTGTTGTAAATTTTAAACGTTTCTCATCATAGCTGTAAAAATCTAAATATGTTAAACTTAATAGATTGTCCGACATTTGTTTTCTAACTAATTCGTTTTAAGTGTCCACGGAAATTTCCAAAATTGACAACTTCTCGGTCACCTTTCATTGTACTGGAAAAATTGCTGTCATTATTACATCTAATATTACGAAGTAATCAGTTCCCACGGTACTCGGCTATAAATTGGTTCGGTTAAGCTTTCGTTTAAATAAAATTCCGAATCTTCCAGCAGGGTTTTATTTATAATAAGTTGAAACCAGTTACTCTGTACTTGAATATTTGTAGTCTTGGGAAAGAAGTAAAAAGACAATTTTTTATGACAACGAATACATTGATGATGATGATGTAGTCTTATCATAAATTTAAAACAAATAAATTCTAAAGCTTTTTTGTACTTTGTGCATCTCAATCATTACATTTAGTTGTAAATGATGTTGTCATAGTAGCACTTAATTTTTTAACATTGTATATAAATTGTAAACGTTTTTTCGGCATCCCCTTATAGATGAAACATACTAAATAATAATATCAATAGTTTAAACTTTGAAATCTGTAAGTAATACAAGATAAAAAGCAAAATGAAACAAATATAAGTATAAAAAATATTTTAATAAATTTTTTTTCATACTCCAGTTAACTATACAGAATAATCATAAAAACATACCAGTAAACTCCTGTCACTTGGGTTAAGTTATAAATCAACTAACGATTCACATAATAAAGCGAAAGCAACAAAATATCTAGCAGGCAAGCGGCTAACAGCAGTAAGTAAAATCATTAAAAACAATATGGCGTGTAACTTACACCTACAAAACAACGTAAAGTTGGTGCAACTCTGTAAAGCGCATGGGCAAACGCGTATAATCAGGTTGCTTCACACCATTCATATGTTTTCGCCGTAAAAGCTATCTCCTATTCAACAACACAGCGCTTCCATTCTGCCACTGGTATTCGAATATACAAAAGCAATCTTAAAGTTTTTTTCAAATGCAGCATAGAAATTTGTAATAAAATACTGTATATAATGTGGTTATAATAAAATATTAAATCAATTAATTTTAAATACGTACTTCAAAATATCAAAGTAATTCACCTCTGTCTCGCCAACGAACATCAAAGCCGCGTCGGCTCTCCAAACGGTTGTTGACACTGTCTAAGGCCACCATACTCAACCTGCGGCCCGTGGGCCACATGCGGTCCGCTGACCTTTTGTGAGTGGCCCGGAGGTAACCCGTAAATAATGCAGTCAAAATATGAATTTTGAAATTTTCGTGGCAAAAAATAGATTTGATCACTCCGACCACACCGCTAAGTCCTTTTTGTCCTTAGAAAGTTGTCGCCAGATGTGCGAGCATTGTGAACACGTGGTGGCCATCAGGGGGAGATCCGCAAGGGACGGTAAAAGTAGAGCTAGACTTAGTAATTTATTGAGACCCATAGCGCCTACATGCGATTCCCGTCCCGTGTTGTTCCCGAATATTTTCGTGTTGACTTCATTTGTCGAACCCGAATATATTCATTTCTGCATCGGAACGCTTTTGATACTAGATGTCGCTATGCGTCATAATTTTAATATTAAAACGAATTTTAGAAATAATTTTTTGTTTTTATATTTATTAATATATCTATTTTGTTTGTGAAAAATAAAAAAGTAATTTCGGATGATAAAATAGTCACGATTATTAAAAAAAAAACCGTGTAATTTTCATTAGGCTTTATCCACGAAAATTCAACTTGGCGTCAAGAATTTCAATATCAAATAGGTTAAAGTCGTAAGTCATAACTTGTTTGTTTTGCTTGTGTTGTGTGGCTCTGTAATTGTTAAAGTACCTTAAGA